CTCTCTCTCTCTCTCTCTCTCGCTCTCGCTCTCTTTCTCTCTGTCACACCCAGCAATGCACAGGGTTTACTCCTGGCTCATGTACTCAGGAATTACTCCTGGCTGTGCTCAGGGGACCATATGGGATGCTGGGAATCAAACCCGGGTCAGCCATGTGCAAAGCAAATGTCCTATCCACTGTGCTGTTGCTACAGCCCCTCTGTCTCTGTCTCTCTGTATTTCTGTCTTTGTCTCTCTCTTCTCTCTCCCCCTCCCTCCCCCTCAGCCCCCACCCCACCCTCTGAGTTCAGTTTATTATTTTTCTAATGGACATAGGAAATGTCTGGTATATTTCCTGGTTTCTTACTAGCAAAGTTGCATCTCAGTGTTTTCCTGCTTGCAGAAATTCCAGCTTCCACAGCAACACTGAATTCTGATTTGGGGCATCATGGTTTGCAGTGCAGATACTGAAAGGTTATGAGGTATATCCCTGAGGAAAAGTTAATGATGGTGGTGGGAGTTCAGGGATTTGAGCCAAGAGCCTTTAACGGCCTGACTGGGGCAGTGACCACGGCAGCAGTACTGAAGGGCTTCGCTGTGGGGGGCGGTGGGCTGTGGTATGCGTCTCATGTACCCTCATCTTCCAGGGTGGCATCGCTGTGTCTGCATGAAATCATGCAACCCATAAGGCTCTTTCCTTGCACAACAGCTGACCCTGAGCTGTTTCTCAGCCCTCCTTAGGGTTCCCCAAGTACCACCAGCACTGATTCCTGAGCACTGAGATCGGAGTAAATCCTTAGCATTGTTGAGTGTGAGCCAGAAACATAAGCAAGGGAGGATCAGAGACCATAAATGGGGTAAAGATGTTTACCTTGTATACAGCCTACCCCAGTTCAACCCCCAGCACCGCCTAGGGTCCCCCAAACACCACCAAGAATGATGCCTGAGCAGAGAGCCAGGAGTAAGCCCCGAGCACCCTGTGGGTTCCTGAGAATTGTGTGAAAGATTTGCAAACAAAACTCAGTAGATGAAAAATTAGAGTTTATTGTGCAGATAAAGGTAGAATGGGCTGTGTCCCTCAGTAGTTGTCCAGGCCTCTCCTTGACCCGTGGACATCACCAGTCCTACCCCATGCCCCCTACTCACCTCCCGTGAATGACGGCCAGGTCCTGTCCCGCGCTGGCCTGTCCTGTGAGCAATGTCCCCACCTTGTCCCTGACCACTCCACGTGCACTAGATCCCTGTGCCTGTTCTCTGCTCCTGTGTGGGCCTCTGCGGCTGCCTGCACGGGCCCCATCTGGGGCGCACAGCCCTGCCCGAGAGAGGAGTGCAGAGAATGCCGCTCAGGAGAGAGAGATGGGGCTGGGGGCTTCCTTTATCTGCTGCCAGAAGTCCCCCACCAGCCATCCCGTTATCTGTCCTGATGGGCTTCCTGCTCCCTGGGCGGAGATTTAAAGTGACCTGGCTCCTCATATTTCCGCTCCTGCCAGCTCAGGCCCCAAACAGAAAAAGTCCAGTAACACCCTCTAGCCCCCACTCAGAACCTGATTTCTGAGCTCTAGACCACATGGACCAACCCAACCCCCTTGTTCCTCAGAGGGGCCACACAGCCGTCATCACGGGAGCAGACGCATCCAGGGAGGGGACCGGATGGAAACAGACAGAAGGGGCCACAGTTTTTCTCAGTTCTCCACCGCGGCCTTCCTAGCTGGGCCGTCATACCTTTAGGTATACTGAGAACCAGGGCTAGGGGACATGGTGTCCTCAGAGATGGCTTTCCGGACCACGCAGGGTTATTATTGCTCATGCTCTCTCTGTGCATTCTAGAAATATCCGCCAGCATCCTGCTAACTCTTCATTCCTAAAAAGAGGGATACTCCTCGCAACGCATTGATTGGCCAGCAGAGATCTTTCTAATTTCAGCATCACATCGATGAGAAGCACTTGGGTGCCCGTCAGCACACATTCTTAGTTCCTCCTTTTCCCTAGCCGGTCCACCGGGAGACCCAGTGGGGGGCCCCCCACATTCCGAACGTCAGATGTCATCTCTTCCTTCCGAGGGCGTGTACCTCTAGTAGCACTGGATTAGTCACTGAAGTCTGCTAAGAAGTGAACAAGAATAACACCAGGGAAAGTAAGGAGGACAGTGTTCCCATCAGGGGGCGTTCCCAGACCATCTTAACCGCACTAAATATTTTCAGACCCTGGTTGGTTGTGTATCGTTGGGAGGTGGGGTTTCACGTGCAGCAGAGAAGGGGCGATGTTGATGAGCGAGTGCGTCTGAAAGTCCCCCTCGTGACCATCTCAGGATATTTTCACCCCAACTTCCCTAGAATTATGTGTAACCATCCATACAGGTGGAATTCACAGTTGGTCAGCAGGAAATTGGGGACTGTCATTCACCCCCCTTCCACCTCCACCCCTGTGGTTTAGAAAGGCCTGCTCAGTGCTTTGGGGCCTGAGAGAACTTCATCCTCCGCTTGGGAATGGGGTAACCCCAGTCCTCGCGGAGTTGATGGGCCCTCTGTGCTCCAGTCAGGCTGGATGTACACAGAAATGACCCTGAGACCTGGGGGATGTTTAGAGAGGAAGGCACTTACCTGGCACCCTATTGTTCCCATTTGAATCCTCGACACCCCATAGGGCCCCCCCAGCCCCCACCAGGAGTGATCCCTGAGTTCCACTGATTATGGTCCTGACCCCAAAATTTGCATATATTATTATTCCAGCATTTTTCTTTCTAGACCGCCTCAAGTTTGTGCTCTTTTCTTTCTACACCTTTCTACATGCCCTCGGGCGCAGACAGGGCACCCCTGTGTGGGACTGCTTACATCCAGGCTCTTTTTTTTTTTTTTCAGCTTTTTGGGTCACGCGCAGCGATGCTCAGGGGTTACTCCTGGCTCTGCACTCAGGAATCAATCACTCCTGATGGTGCTCAGGGGAGACCATATGGGATGCTGGGAATCGAACCCAGGTCATTGATCATTGATCATTTCTATCATATGACTGAAACACTGTCACTGTCACTTGTCACTGTCCTCCCATTGTTCATCGATTTGCTCGAGCGGGCCCAGTAATATCTCCATTGTGAGACTTGTTATTACTGTGTTTGGCATATCAAATACATCACAGGGAGCTTGCCAGGCTTTGCCGTGTGGGCGGGATACTCTTGGTAGCTTGCCAGGCTCTCTGAGAGGGAGAGGAATCAAACCTGGGTTTGTCGGGTCGACTGCATGCAAGAAAGAAAGAAATATTTGCAGGGGCCATAGAGATAGTACAGTGGGTAGGGCGCTTGCCTTACACACAGCTGACCCAGGTTCAATCCCTGGCATCCCATATGGACATCTGAGCACTGCCAGGACTGATCCCTGAGTGCAGAGTCAGGAGTTAGCCCTGAGGAAGGCCAGGCAAATGAAATAAATAAATATTTGCAGATACTTTCTCCTACATTCCTCCTTTATTCTTAGCCGGAATGACTTTTCTTTTTTTGTTTGTTTTTTTGTGGGAGGGGGCGGGGAGAGAGGATGGTTGGCCCACCCAGCACTGCTCAGGGTTTACTCCTGGCTCTGTGCTCAGGGATCACTCCTGGTGGTGGCAGGTGGTGGGAGGACCAGCTGCATGCGAGGTAAATGCCTTAATCCCTGTACTAGCTCTTCAGCCCCTATGTACTGGCTTTTCTTATTGCATGAAGTCTTGAAATTTCATATCATTCCATCTGTAAATTGTTTCCCTCAAGGGGGTGTCTTCTGTTGTTCTATGTAAGAAATCCTTCCCTATAATGTTTTAATTCCCTACGGTCCTCCAAGCACTGCCAGGAATAATTCCTGAATACAGACCCCCTTAGCATTCCCAGGTGTTGTCCAAAAACAAAAAAAGTCATCCCAAGGAGGTTAATTTAAAAAAAAAAAGAAAGAAAAAAATTAAAGCAGGTCTGGAGCAATAGCACAGCGGGTAGGGCAGTTGCCTTGCATGTGGCCATCCCGGGTTCGATTCCTCCACCCCTCTCAGAGAGCCTGGCAAGCTACCAAGAGTATCTTGCCCACACAGCAAGGCCTGTCAAACTACCCGATACGTATTTGATATGCCAAACACAATAATAAGTGTCACAATGTTACTGGACCCGCTCAAGCAAATCAGTGAACAACGGGAGGACAGTGACAGTGACAGTGATGTATATTTATATATGTGTGTAGATGTACAGATGTGTGTATGTGTATATATACATATATATGCACATATATATATGCTTATTCTTTGAGCTGGAGCGATAGCACAGTGGTAGGGCGTTTGCTTTGCATGCAGCCATCATAGCTGACTCGAGTTCGATTCCTCTGCCCCTCTTGGAGAGCCCAGCAAGCTACCAAGAGCATCACGCCTGCACGGCAAAGCCTGGCAAGCTCCTCGTGGCATATTCGATATGCCAAACACAAGTCTCACAGTGTTACTGGGCCCGCTCTTGCAAAATTGGTGAACAATGGGAGGACAGTGACAGTGATGCTTATTCTTTAATGTTGCTAAGTTTTCGATGGTGCCTGCAAGCACTGAGTCTCTACTAGAGTTCTTTGCTCTGAGTAACTGAGCCACTGAGTAGTCTAGCCAGGGAGATGACCTGTAGGGCTGAGTTCATGTTTTGAGGGAGTCTGAGTTTCCCTCCCCAGAGCACCACATGACCCCCTGAGCACAGCCAGGAGCAACCCCCCATGTCCTCCCAGCTGTGACCCCAAAATAAAGAAATAAAAAGTGTGGCATAATCACCAGTTCTCCTAAATGCCACGATGATGGATAAAAACCACTAAGCCGAATAAGCAGCCTCTAAATGGATGTCACATCTAGCCCTTCTTGCTTGCTAATTGACTTCTGATTGGAAGATGCTCTGGGCTTTCACAGCGGCAGAGAAAAGATTGCTTCTTTCCCAGCCCACAGCTGCCAGGGATTTTCCAGCAGTCACAGGACATCTCACTGAGCCCGCCCTGCACTCTGGACCAAAACTCACATCACTGTTGTTCTCTATGTTTTTCCAGCTGCCAATCGTGGAGAAGATAAGAACCATTGCCCAGACCGTCTACGGGGCCAGGGATATCGAAATCTCTCCAGAGGCGCAGACCAAAATCGATCGCTACACGCAGCAGGTACAGACGCGGCAGAGAACGTTCCCCCGGACTTGGGAAACGGCCTGTGGCCCACGGGCTGGACGGGGCCAGTTCATGTAGACAGATGGAAGAGTTCCAATTCCCCGAGTGCCCGTTGGCTCTTGGGTGTGGGTGCCTGTGTTGTTGTGCGTGTACCTGACGTGGCTGGAAACTGGATGCGTGTACTCTGTTTCCTAGAAATATCTACACTCTCCAAGGGTGAGGGCCATGGAGAGAGAGGCAGATAGCCACTCACTGCTTCTGCTTCTTAACAGGCCTCGGTGCCTTCTTAGCAGGGTGCCAGTGGAAATTTTCTTTTTTTTGGGGGGGGGGGATTTTCTTTTTTTTTTTTTCTTTTTGAGTCACACCGGTGATGCACAGGGGTTGCTCCTGGTTCGGCACTCAGGAATTACTCCTGGCAGTGCTCGGGGGACCATATGAGGTGCTGGAGTCGAACCCGGGTCAGCCTCGTGCAAGGCAAACGCCCTACCTGCTGTGCTATTGCTCCAGCCCCACTGTGGGGTATTTTCTTTCTGTACAAGTGACTGGGTGTTCAGATGGCCCATCACAGCTGAAGGGTCATCATCTTAGTATCCCAGCCTGAGTGCCTGAGGAGGTGACACCAGCCCACCCATGGAAAGATCAAGGTTATTCTTTATTGAGGAGTCACTGTCACTGTCACTGTCTTCCCGTCGTTCATCGATTTGCTCGAGCGGGCACCAGTAACGTCTCCATTGTGAGACTTTGTTGTTACTGTGTTTGGCATATCGAATAATTCACAGGGAGCTTTCCAGGCTTTGCCGTGCAGGCGAGATACTCTCGGTACTTGCCGGGTTCTCCGAGAGGGGCGGAGGAATCGAACCTGGGTCGACCAGGTTGGCCACATGCAAGGCAGACACCCTACCTGCTCTGCTATCGCTTCAACCCATTCGGGAGTTAAGTTTCTTTATTTAAATTTTATTTTGGCGGGGATTGCAGAAGTGGGGCTGTGGAACCATTTGCCCAGAGATGCTCAGAGACTATTCCTTGGCCCTGTGCTCAAGAGTGACCCCTGGCGGTGCTCCAGTGAGAAAGGTCAAGTGTGACATATGCTCTTGGCTTGCGCTTTCAAAGTGAATAACTAATTTCCCAACATCCTCGCACAGGCTGGCGGGGTTTTGCATTGGTGTTTTCACTCATGTGCAATGAAGCGGTAAATCCTATTTGTAATTCTCCCCCCCCCCCCCCCCCCCCCGACCTTGTGCTAAATACCAGAGCATCCTCTTTGGGTAGATCACCAGCAACTCGGTTTTCCCTTAGAGTTTTCCGTGTGTGTGCTTGGCTTGTATCTTAAGATGAAGAAATGATCCTCAGGCATCGCTCTCAGCCCTGGCACAGTTCCCCTGTGGAGTTTTCACTCATGAGCTAAGAGTAAATTGGGGTCATTGTCCTGAGTTGGGTTTTTCTTAATCAAGAGTTCTAAATAATGCTCTTTAAGGCTGGCCTTTACTCTGACCCTAGGGCTTCCTGATTTTATCAATCTTCGATAGGTCCTTTAGGAAATAGATGATGGTGGTAGATGTCATGTTGCAATTTTGGTCCAGCATCCTGCTGCCCGAAGTTTCTTTTGGCAAACCTGCATCAGCTCGGAGATGTTATTTCAGTACTCAATCTCTGAAACCCAAAATTCTGGGCACCATTTCTGTAGGTCGATGGTAATTACCCCTCAGCAAAATTCCTATCAGTATATACATGAGTACATATCACATTTCATGGAAAAAGGGTGGGGGGGGAAGCCTCAAACCCCCGAGTGGTGGTACTCAGAAATTCTCCGAATAGCAGGAAGTTGAATCATCCAGACTTGAACGTGACTTCCCTCTGAGATTGTATTCCCCTTCTGCCCAGTGAGGGGAGGATAGGCCCTCAAAATAATGAGCCAAGTAAGCGGTGACAGTTCATCCGCAGGGTCTGTGCAGGGGGCCTGAGCCCCCTTCGGAATGGAGCCCAGCCACGGGGACACTGTCCTTTTTGTGAGACGCCCAGCGGACGTCCTGCCCTTTCACCTTCGGGCATGTGGGTCGGGCGCTGCTTTTGCTCCTTAAACAGAAAGAGGCGGCTTCCTTAATGACCTCATCTTCGTTCCTGTCCTGTAATCACAGATCCAGTAGCCGTGACTCATAAGTCAACACAAAAGGGGCCTTTGCAGCCCCCTGAAGGAGTGAGGCACGTGACTCTAGCCCTCAACTCCAGCGTCTTCCTCCATGTACTGTGGTTTCTTGAGATACAACCACTAGTCTCATGAGAGCCTTTTCCCCGTCTCCTGCCGTCACACCATGCCGCCTTCCCTGAAAAGAATCTCCCCCCTACAAAGCCCATATGCCCTCCACCTGCCAGATGTTGGGCCTTGGGGGAGTCCTGCCCGCTCTTGCTCAGTGAGCAGCTGGTGACGAGCGCCCACTGGGTGCTGTATCAGAGCTGCCAACCCCGGAAACACAGACTCGACTCCTTCTCATCGATGCATCTCCTTCCCTGTCTTCCAGGGCTTTGGCAATTTGCCCATCTGCATGGCAAAGACCCACCTGTCTCTGTCGCACCAGCCCGACAAGAAGGGCGTGCCCAGGGATTTCATCCTGCCCATCAGCGACGTTCGTGCCAGCATTGGGGCCGGGTTCATCTACCCGTTGGTGGGAACGGTGAGTAGTCTTCTCCCCTGGGTATTGTGACTGGGGCTGATCTGCTCCCAGAAGGACAGGGTTCACGGCAGGTGCCAGCTGTCACAGGCTCTCTTTCACCGTTCCATAGAATATCATCATTACCGTGAGGCTTGAGATTTTTCTTGGGTAGATCGTGCGTTCAGATTTCCTGGTCAGATATCCCTGGGGTGAGGAGAAAGAGATGAACCGAGAGAAAAATCCCGCCATCCTGTGAAGCTGGTTGATGACTGCAATTAGCGTTTCTCCATCCTGTTTGCTCATCGTCATCACCTTACAGATGATCAGTTTGTACCATGTCAGGGGCATCTGGGGGGTAACTATTGGTGCCAGGTGAGACCAGCCAGTGCCTGTGGGCCGGACTCATGAGCCTTTCACCCTTTCGGTTCTTCTTCACTTGTCAGGTAGGAAACTTCAACCATGAGCAAGTCTTGGGAGGTCTCTTGTGTTGGACACTGTTGCAAGGGGAGAATGTTGGGGTGGGATTTCAGGTGCTTGGTGGGTGAAGGGTGGAGACAGCCCGGAAATGAAAGCTTAATAAAGGCAGGGTAGGGTCAGGGATGTAGCTCAGTGCAACACTTGCTTTGTATGTGCCAGGCCCTGGGCTCCATCCCCTATACCACGCTCCACTACCCCCCCACCCCGCCCCGAATAGTAATAAAATAAAATCCATAGGCAAAGGATTAACTACTCCCTGCTAGCCATACAAGGATACAATATCCTTCCTGGCAACCATGAATGACTGAAGCTTGCCTTCTCTTGGAAGTCCTCCTGGATCAGATTTACAACAAAAATTCAAGATTATTATTACCAAGTGTTGCTGCCAGAGTTTGATCCAAGCCCAAATAGGCAAGATACCTTTTTCTGTTTTTTTTTTCCAAATAAACCACGTGACTCTTTTTATGTGAGCAGGCAAAAAGGAAAGAAGAAATAAATCTTTACAATTGATATTTATACGTGTTTTATCTAATATTGGGCAAATGTTTTCAGTAAGTATTTGGAAATTGCCATAGTTCCTGTGAGTTTTGGGATGCCAAGCTGAATTAGTGGAGGAGCATAGATTTGAATAGTATAGACAATCTTCGGAGTCCAGGACGAATCTGTCTGGTGTGGAAGGGAGCAGGGCCTCTGTGGAAGACGAGAGTCAAGAATGTTCTGTGAGGGGCTGGAGAGATATTACAGTGGGTGGGGCTTTTGCCTTGCATGCGGCCGACCCAGGTTCAATTCCTAGCATGTCGTATGGTCCTCTAAGTACCTCCAGGAGTAATTCCTGAGTGCATGAGCCAAGAAAAACCCCTGTGCATTGCCAGGTGTAACCCTCCCCCCTGAAAAAAAAAAGCATAATAATAATAACATTCCGCGAAATGTCTAATCTGTTGCTGAAGAAACAGTGAGCAGAGACACCCCGTTTCCTTCCTAGGGGGACCCCGGCAGGGGATGCTGAGAACAGGAGCGGCAGGTGCGTGTCAGGCTCCTAGAGGTGCCATTTCAGGAACTCAGGTTGACTCTAGTCCACACAGGGACCACTGTTGGTTTAGTTTAGTTTTGTTTAGTTTTGTTTTTCATTGTTCTGAGGAGGAGACGCAAACAGTATGATCAGTATTTGAGAAACACACAGGCTGTAACATAAAGACGCTTTAGAGGGGAAACACTCAGACCCAGGACAACATCTGCCAAGGCTGATTGGCCCTGTAACTGCAGGGAAAATTGCGGGGGTCACAGAGGCGACTCTAAGACCTGAGCCACCTACCTGTGAGCTCAGGGGTCAGGGACACTTGGGGATCTCGGACGGTGGGGTCATCGGTCATGCAAGGAACCCAGGAGGAGGGGAGGTTGGGCAGAACCAGAACTGGATCTGACTTGGACACAGAGAACTGAAGGGCGAGCGTAAACTAGGCAGTAGTCTGGAGGCTTCTGTTAGAAATGAAGATTCCGTTGTTACACCCCGCTGACCGGAACAGAAGAAGGCCTGGAACATCCAGGAATAACTGAGGGCCAGAGCAATAGTATCGTGGGTAGGGTGTTTGCCCTGCATGTGACAGACCTGAATTCAATCCCTGGCATCCCATATGGTCCCCCAAGCACCGCCAGGAGTGATTCCTGAGTGCAAAAGCCAGGAGTAACCCCTGAGCATCACTGGGTGTGACCCCTCCCCCCCAAAAATTGATCATGTAAGTCTCATTCCACCCCAACCACTCCCGCCACATCCCTCAGCATATGGGTCTACAGGAAGTCACAGCACTTCCTGTGTGAGCACACGCCTGTCCCTCTGACAGTGACTTCGCAAGTGAGAGCTGGGCTAGTCCATGAGGGGTGGCCACAGCTTCCCCATCCCCTGATGCTCTTCCCTGTGCGACACAGTGACCAGGGCAGTGCTGGGCATAGTCCTCCTGTGGGAGGAGGGCCGGAAGCACGGGGTGTTAGATTGAGAATCCCTCTGGGGAAGGAAGTCGCCGGTGTGCCTCCCTATGGGTCCCCATCCCCTGTCAGAGCAGGAAGAGGCTGCTGGATCCCCTAATAAGGCTGAACTTTACTTTTCCTCCACTGCCGGCTGCCGAGATACCTGTCACACTATCACACTGTCCCACGTGGGCCACGCAGTCATTTCCTGCTGGATGACTGGAGGGACTAGAAGGGCACACTGAAGGGAGGAACTTTCCAGCACCGTGAATCATCGTCTTCCTCAATGAGCGGGTGCCTTTCTGCCTGGGGGGAGCAGACTCCCATGTCCCCACCAGGAAGAAAGCCCCTGAAAGACACTAGAGAAAGCTTCTAGAGTGTTCATGGTCGGGGGCCGGGCTTTGGGGAAGGAGCACGGCATCACACCTGTTGGTGCTCGGAGCTTCCTCCCGGCTCTGTAATCCAGGGTCACTCCTGGCGATGCTGCAGGGACCAGTGTGGTACTGGGGACTTGAGCCACGTGAGAGGCGAGCACCTTAACCCCATAAGTCTACACACATCTGGCGTGCAAGGTGTTGGAAGTGCCCAGAGGTAGGCAGGACTCCACCTGGACAAAAGGGTCTTCTGATGGAACCCCACAGAGCCACCTGTGGCCTGTCCTCACGGGGTCAAGGACCCCACTGGCCACCTGAAATGGAGCTTGGTGGCACTCCTCCTCCTCCTCCCCCTGTGGACTGGGCAGGCGCCCACCGTGCTGACTCCGGGAGATTCCATCAGCCTGTCTTCGTGAGGAGTCGCCACAATAAGATAATGTGACATTAGACGCTGCTCGATGCTCGATTTGGCCCTCCCGTTGATCATCGATTTGCTCGAGCGGGCCCAGTAACGTCTCCATTGGAGACTTTGTTGTTACTGTGTCTGGCATATCGAATACTCTCGGTAGCTTGCCAGGCTCTCCGAGAGGGGCGGAGGAATCGAACTCGGGTCGGCCATGTTGGCTGCGTGCAAGGCAAACGCCCTACCCGCTGTGCTATCGCTCCAGCCCCTGCAGCCCCAGACGCTGCTCACTGGAGCAAAAGCGTCTCTCCTGGTGCTCACCTCCCTGGCGGGTCCTGTAGCCCCTCTTGGGACCTGGATTGTCTGCCGACACACGTGGCCACCTCTTCCCCATGCCCTGCTGGCTGTTGGCTGTCTGGCCGCAAGGCAACTCGCTTCTTTGCTGGAGTGTGGAGCACCTGCACCTGCTCTACCCCCCTTCATTGCTGCAGCCGTGGACGCACCAGGGTTTGCACACACCTGGTGCTGTTACTCGCCCCGGCATGGTACCTGTGAGCCATGGGACTCACGCCCAGGGCTCACTGTCCTGCTCCCGGCTGTGCTTGCCAGGGGCTATGTTTCCTGGCATGGTGCTGGATGTACACCTTTTAGTTGTGATACTCACGCACGTACATACATACACACACACTCACACACACACAGAGCAATGATATGTGGTGTAGCTGAAAATCACTCGGCCCCAGGACTGGTGAGGGCAACAGTGCCACTAGGCTCAAGCAGCCGGCTTATTGGGCTGTCACTTTGCGCATGTGGTGCGACCTGGGATTGAACTCTCGACCTGATGCTTGCAGGTGCTCCAAGGTGGTTAACTTTCCTTCCTAAAACATCTGTTTCCTATTTCAGTTCTTATACATTCTTGCCTCTCTTTGTAGTTTCCTCCCCCACCCGGGTAAGGGGCATCTCCAACAGCGCCATGGACCACTAGGGCTTCACCTGGTGATGCTCAGGTGGATATGTGGTGTTGAGGATCGAACCCAGGGCCCCGTGCATGCCAGGGATGTGTTCTAGCCCTTTGAGCTCTCTTCCGGGCCCAATTTTCTTTTTTTTTTCTTTTTCTTTTCTTTTTTTTTTTTTGTGTGTGTGGGGGGGGGGGGCACACCCATCAGTGCTCAGGGCTTACTCCTGCGCTTCACCAAGGGATCACTTTTGGCAGGCTTGGGGGGTCGTATGGGATGCTGGGGATCAAACCTGGGTCGGTTGTATGTAAGGCTAACAGCCTGGTCACTGTACTGTCACACTGACCTCACATAGCTGCATTTTTGCCCCTTTTTCTCATGACATTAGACTCAGGCATTCTTTGCCCAGGGGGGAGGGGGGCGGGCTGGAGGGTAGGAGTTGGGCCGGACCCTGCGCTCTGCTCAGGGACTACTCCTGCTCTGCTTGGGGATCACTCCTGAGGTGCTCAGGATCAAACTGCTTCAACTGCATGCAAAGCAAGAGCCTTCATGGCTGCGCTCATTGCATGGCCCTAGACTTAGGTTTGCATATCACTGGAAAGTGCAAAAATAGTAGATTCTTGATCGGCCATCACCATTTAGTGCATATTCTTTGGGGGAGGGGGTGGGTGAGTGGAATAATATGTACATACATAATATATATATATATATACACATATATATGTATATATATCGCTGTGTCACTGTCATCCCGTTGTTCATTCATTTACTTGGGCAGGCACCAGTAACATCTCCATTCATCCTAGCCTTGAGATTTTAGCAGCCTCTCCTTACTCATCTTTCCCAACG